ACGAAAATACCGAGAATTGTTTAGGGCTGTTCCATCGTGCAGAAGCACCCTCACCCCATCGAAATCTTGGATGTATCGCTACCGTGCGGTGAGGGCACGAGCGAGTGAATTTCGATAAGATGGCGATAGCACGGTGATGGTTTTAATGAGCGAAGAGGTTCCGACTGTCAACTTGAAGTGCCTCCACGACGCCTTTAGCATAGACAGCAGCAAGGCAACTAATACGACGTGCATCGTCGTATTACTTGCCTTGCTGTAACTGGCGAGCCATTCGTGCACATCCGTCCGTGCAGAGGTCGGCGAGGAGACACTTCACGTCAGATGGGCCTGCCGAACTGGCGTCTATTTCGCACGTAAATGTGCGCGAGGCTTCCATGTCATTCGGAACTGCGTCGTCGACCGAAACACGCTTACCGTTTGATGTGTTGGCGTCTAATTCAGACGTGAGCGCCTGGGCGTCTGCCATTACAGTCGGAATCGCGTTTCTGCAAGAGCAGTTGGAACTGGTATGCTGTGTGACAGAAGTGCGGTGCATGTGATTGAACGTTAGATGGTAATTTCGAACTTTAATTCGCACATGAGCGTCGACCATGTTAGCAGTGGCGCGTATGATGTAGTGGTTGATTGAATAAAACAAAACAAAAAAGTCACTTTTCTACAACTCTTGCGGGTAGCATGGTTCGGCTCAGACCTTACAGGGAGAGGGAAAGAGGGATGCAGAAATGCAGAAGGGAAGACGATAGTTATTGTGCGAAAACAAAACGACGACACAGAGACAAGAAGGAGACGTCTACTTCTTGTCTCCTTCTTGTCTTTGTGTCGTCGTTTTTTTCTCGCGCTATAACTATCGTCCTGCCATACCAACTAGCCCAAGCTGCCGCAGAAGGAAAAGGTAGAGAAAGAGTGTGGCGGCAGGTTGTGGGTGCTTCCCTATGATGGAACAGCCGGAAAAACTCCGCACAATACATTGCGGGTGCGTGCGTGCATTACCAGCACGTCACCTATAGGCGTGCACGTCACCTACAAGAGAAACCAATAGCGCGCGAGCAATCCTGATGCTGGCGCTGGCGTCCTCCTCGCACTATTTCTTTTTCCCTCTTTTGTGCAATGGCGGGCCAGCAATTCCAAATACGCGTCCAGGAATGTGGTGGGAAAAATATTCCAGCGCATGAGTGCGGGTCCTCGGCTCTCGAATCATGCGCGAGTGGAATCATCCAGGGTGAAATAAACTTGCCGCAACATGTCATCATCGGTCCAGTTGTTGAAAAGGTTGACGTGGTTGAATATTTCAAGCCAGCTCTCCAAATCTATGAGTGGTGAGGCGCAGAAAGTGGCTGGCTGCCGAGGTTGACGTAGCCAGATAGGTGTGGAAGCCACTTAGGCGGGCATGATTCTAGTCTAGGTCATAATCTTTGGCTGCCTGGTGGTTCGGGAAGTGGTCCGTACACTGGCTGGAGTCCCTTCTTCCTGCTGGTACTGGTAGGATTGGGGCGTTTTTTAGCGAAGGCTTCTTTGTGGCTTCGGCTCGGGTCAGTGCTTCGTGGTGTGCGAATCATGAACGAAGTATTACCTCCACCTAGATGTCTCGATGTCATTATAGAAAAATATACGCTCCTAAAGAGTGGTGCTCGAGCTTTTCGGCGACCCAGCAAGCAGCGATACCAACTCAACTAGACGTTTTATCTCTAGATTGACTGTCAAAAACGTCTAGATTACAAGAAAAATTCATACATTATATTTTAATGTCATTAGTCAGGCTCAATGACTCGTTACAAAGTAGCCCCACCGTCGTGGTCTAATGGCTAAGGTACTCGGCAGCTGACCTGCAGGTCGCGAGATGAAATCCTGGCTGTGGCGGCTGCATTTCCGATGTAGGCGGCCGTGCTGTGGGCCCGTGTCTCAGAATCGAGTGCACATTAAAGAACTCAAGGTGGTCAAAATTTGCAGAGTCTTCCCCTAGGCGTCTCTCATATTCACATGGTGGTTTTAGGATGTCAAACGCCACATATTGATCCACCAATTTTAACAAAGTATTAAGGCAGTGCACTCTGTAGCCAAGTTCTTCTAAATCGCAAAAATTAACATTACCATATTTTCAGGTCTTTTTCTATACTTTCTGTGAAGTTGCATATGAAGTGCTTACCAATGGCCCCTGTTGACACCAAGACACGTTTGCATGTCAAATGCACTTTGCACGGGCATTCACGTCATAGATGCGATTCTTCGAGTCAACCGTGAGTCTGTTGCACCTTTCTTGGACTTGCAGCTTTGCAGCTGGTTCACTATTCTTAATTTTAATATAATAATGCGATATTTTTAATATCAGTCCACTCTATCACTGGCTGACAGCTACGCCTTTCGTCTGTACCTTCGATCAGCTCCCCGTTTTGCAATATTTAAGTCACTTTTTCGCTCTCATGTAAAGGGCATGATGGAAAGACTGAAACACCAGAACAGTCTTCTAGTCTTTTTTCATCCTACTGTTTCCGCAATTATGAACCCGTACCATCTTTCCAGTTCTTTAGTCGTGTTTTTGGTCTGTTATTCTATTATATTTTCCATTATTTCACACGGAGACATTCCTCGGCGAAGGGACGCAATAGGAATAAACTGGACATTGCACTATAAAACAAAATTAAATTTTCTTTCACAGTGAAGCAATCACTCGGTGAGCTAATGAAATGTACGTTCATAACTTCTACGACTACAGAGTTTTCTTCAGTGTTAAGACTATACTATTCTTACGTTACAAAACTGCTATATATCTTCTTACCATGGTCCATCAGAACACCAAGAGTCTCTTAAATAAAAAACCAAGAAATAGCCAAACTATAATTTTACAGTCTTTCAAGTAAAAAGAGTGTAATAATTTAGTAACGTCTTTAATCAGGGCGCGTAATGTCAAATTTTCAGAGCTTTACTAAAATTCCTAGATTCAGCAAAATGGCACCAAATCTGTGATTGAAGTTAAAGATCTCTAGATCTAGATATAAATCCCTAAAATTGGCTTCTCTGCTAATAAGGTAGGGTCGGAACAACCGTGGGTTGTGTACCCGTGCTCGGTTCTACTCTTTAGTACACACATGCAAGGGCCACCTCAGAAGGGACACTGAGACCTAAGTTTGGCACTGAAATATTTTCAAAGAATTCCTATAGATTTCTGAAATTCCCCATGTCGTCTCTACATTCTGTTCTGATGAGGACGTTTATTGCGCTACAAGGCAAATTAGTAAAATCTGAATAGGAAGTGTGGTCTTTCTACATTCATTTTCACAACGGATAAAATACATTAATGTGGTTTAGATGTGGATCTATTCCTTTGGTGGAAGCATGGTTGTGTAGCCTTTTATGGGGATAAAAACACTCACTTTCAGAGCATTACGGACTGGGCTCCCATTCCACCATCGCAAAGAAATATTTTGTTTTATTTACTTATGCCGATTACAATATTGGTCTCACAAGCCGCTCGTGCCGCTGAAAGGAGCGCAGTAGCTCGGCCGCAGAGCCCAACGGAATTGTCCGCTTTCTGCGCAAGTATGTTTTTATAAGGTGTGATCGCGTCAGAGAAGACAGCAGTCAGCGTGTTGTAACTATTTATTTGGCCAAACTTGTGACTGAGAGATGGGAAGTCGTACTGCAGCAACCAATGCACGCTGTTCATTGATACACTGAAAACAGCGAACAGAGCGTCGGCCGAGCGTCGGCCGTCGATAATCTGACAAGCGCTGAGGCGCGTCGTCATTTATACACACTTTCGCCGTATATTGCAACATTTACGCTAGCGGCAACGTGAGTTATAGCAGAAACTGTAATCTTCGCATTGTAAAAGTAACCACATCAGAAGATTCTGCGCTTCTCTCCGTGGTTTTTGCTCATGCGGCGTGGTTTGCGCAAGGCAGCACTTACAGTATAACAGGGTGATAAGAAAACTGGAAGAAGGAATGTGGCAGCATGTACTTCATATTTTATTGACTCTTTGTGATGGTTCTCTTAAAGTGGCACTTGAACGAAATTCGTCACGTGAGAAAATGAGTGATGTAGATTTACCTAAAGAAAGACATATTATCCAGGAAATATAGCATAGAACATACCTAAAATCAATTTTAAATCTTGATGCTGAGCCCCTCACAACGCGGGAATTCAACGCAGTGCAAGTGTAAACAAGCCTGCGCCCCCTGTTTGTGTTAGCTGGGTGCTGGAATGCGCCCTGCGCTTGCACCACCCGCGATTTCTTTCTGCGTGCATGCGGCTTTGCGTGTGCTCGCTCTGCTGGCTGTCAGCGCGGCGTCCGCCCACGCGTGCTCTCGCGCGTGGTACCCACGTCACTATTTTGCGTGGTGACGTGGCCAGCAGTGTTTACCTTGCCACCGGAACTGGTCGTGCATAGCGCGGTGATCCTGGAAACCAAAACTGCCAGTGGGCGCTATAAACAGCCGTCACGCACTCATGCAAACGAGGTTTCCAGCTGTGGAATTTGGGCCGTAAGTTAGCTATTGCAAACAACAACAACAAAGCGAAGGGAAGACTTCTTGTTTCTATACTTCTTTAATTTGTTGGTGCTTCATTACTTCAGGCATGTATAAGCAACTTGTTTATCATATTTTTTTATTTATCGTCCATTGTTGGTAGCTTTGCTATTGTGAGGTTTGGTTCATATTACACTTGGGTAATCTCATATGCAGGTTCTTAGAGAGTTGTACTACTGCGCTTTGTTGCACTTATCGTACAGCTTAAAGTCGTACATGAACACCCTGTTCTAGCTTCTTCCTTACGGTCTACTTAAGAGTCGATTTAAGAGAGACCTTACGGTCTCCCTTAAGGTTCTACCTTATGTGTGGCGCTCATACAGTGTCTGACTTTTTCTCTTTTTTTCTTAATCATTTCACTGTATGTAATACATAATTGTTTACTTCCATGTATTTCTGCTAACTCCTGCGAAGACCTCTGAATTGTACATGCAGTATTCTAAAGAAAGTAAATAAAAATATTGCTACACTTACGTCTTGCTGTCGGTGTAAAATGCTGTTCGCTGAATCCTCCGCAAATGTCCGTGCCAATAACACCAACAGCAGTACAGGCCGCTGCAACTGCAAAAAAAGTACAGTGTCATTCTTCGAATCAGGAATACACTCAAGGACGTCTGTTTTTATTTTGTGTTCCTTACGGAAAATTGTAAACAGCTTTGCCCTCTAAAATGAATTCACACTCCTAAGATCCACTGTGTTAAAAACGAGAATTATCAAAAAGTGATGTTTGAGTATGTTTTTTTCGTTCAAGTATCTCTTTGGTTGGAATAAAAGGGGTGGTCATCGGCAGAATGCGAGCTGATAATGATAATCGCTTAAATTCAACAACACTGAATATTGGTCGCGTTCGTACGAGACCCCCACTATCGCACCGCCTAAACGTTTGTTTTCACGTATCGTGTTTTTGTATAACGTTCAATCATACAGGAAAAGAATATTCGAAATATTTGAATTGCAGGGTACGATATCATGGGCCGGTGTTTGCATAGCACGAGTGGTCTGTACATGTGTCTTTTTTTTTGCTACGTTTTTGTGTGCCGTTTTGTGTATAGGTACAGGCATTATATTTCTTATGTGTTAGTCGTTTGGATATTGTTGTGCCAGGGGCTTGGTCCTCGTGCGGCAGCACTTTTTTTCACGAAACTGGAGGCCCGAAACGGAGGCACGCGACTCACAGTTCTCGAGGTCTCCCCCCCCCCCCCCTTCCCAGAGCCACTTTCCACGCAGACGGCACAGGCAGATGCTAGGAGTCTTTCTTGGTTTATTGGCTATAAATAAACATTCGCTCGCTTTAAATTATGAGAATGGTTTTAGATAGCGGTGAATATTAGTAGTAGAGCATCACGATGGACTAAACAGCGTTGGAGAAGTCGCGTCTCTCATAACCATGTGGTGGTTTTGGGACGTTAAACCCCACAAATCAATCAAATCAGCGTTGGAGAAGTACCCTCTGCTCTCACTCCCCTCCCATAGCAACAGCTGCAGGCGTGCGCGCTTATCCTCGCCCGTCTAAACCAGAGCACGTACTGCGAGACGTTGTAGGAGAGAGTAGGGGCAGTGCTTCGCCGCTCCTTCTCTCTACATTCACTCTCCCCCCCCCCCCCATGAGCCCCCCTTCACCGTCCGCTCGCGCCTCACTCTCGGCCGATCGCTTGCTGGGCGCCTATCAAGAACATCTGAGAAAGCGTGCTAGAGACGCCACTGTGAAACGCCTACACCGAGTCAAGAACGTTGTTTATTTTGTTCACTCCATAGTATTTCTTGACCGTGCACGCTAGCTACTAGAGCTGCAAACGCATACTGCGTTTTTAGCAACAGAAAAATGCTACATGCGGCCGACGCTATTGGCTCCACGTTGTAAGAAAAAAAAATATTATTCTAACACTGGGTTCTCAACGGCGAAACGCTGTTATCGACGCTACGCTATGCATTCGCATTTCCTCACGATTCACTTCGGGGAGGTGGGGGTATTTTTTATTTGTATTGGCACTTCGAAATGAGGGGAGTTTAGCCAAACAGCAAGTGTCATATTCTAAATTATGTGAATTAGGGATACAATCACGTACGTTTGTAAGCTCCCGTGTGGCTGACCCTGTTCGTGGGAAGAGCAATAGACGGGCTAACGGCTTCACAAGCTCCACTCTAATGGCTGGTTCACAGTAGTGACACAACGGCTCACTGTTTGCCGTTCTCAGGCTGCCGTACACGGGCGGCTTTGTTCGCGCATGTGTCCGTTCTTTGCCGTTTTGAGACGAAGCTTCAGACTCATTTTCATGCCATTTCCCCGTTCGGCAGAGAGTGACGTGTCCAATCAGCGACGCTGGGACTACATCGGTGAGCCGCGTCATCTGATTCCAGCCTTCCGCGTCGTCTACATGTTCTGCGGCGCTGCGGGGCGCCTCGAGCAGCTTGCGCTACCCTTCCACCTTCTTCACACAATAAACACCGCGCGCAACAGATGCGCCACTTTAGGGTAAAGCTTTGCACGGACCCTCATCCTCTTGCATGAGCAATCATGCGAAAGACAAACTTTGGAGCTGGTTATCTTGGAGCACAGGCGTGCTAAAAAATCTTTCAACTGAAATTCTGCACAAACACATTTGCCTGCATTTTGTTATCAATACAAGCATGCCAAATTACCACAGCCCGTAAAACGGAAATTATTAGGTTTTAGTTAATTTGGCTGCTGTCAGCGATTATTATCATCTAACTTTCAGTCCCCCTGGCCGCTTAACTTATATGCACAAGTGGTTTTCACGTGCCTTTGAGCGGCCCATTTTTAAAAACTTATAAAGCATAAATTTCAACACGTGTTAGCGCTTAGGGCTCACTTGAACTCGCCCACATCCCTTTTTCATGAGCCCGACTAACTTGGACTCACACACGAAAACGTTATTGAACCGGAATCAATTGAACTCAAATCATTGTTGAAAAGCCACCCGGACTGAGCTATGCACTTTGTGAACCCCAAGCCTTCTTGAGCTGGCGGCTGCATTTATTCTTCTGAATATTGTCGATCAAAAAGCCAATGTTGCGCATATCTGAGGCCCAGCATCAATACGTAAATATTAGGTAGTGTGTTATTTTACTGCAAAATACATAGATACGTTATTCTGAAGACCTTAAAATTTCTTACTTCACGCTGAAAATGCGACGGCATGCTCAAAAAAATGGTTGTTTATTATGCGCTCTGCAGATGATATGGGCTGATGATATATGCAGAACCGAGGCCAGTGGCCTTGGGTTCTGCACAAGCTGGTGTTTTGCGGCACCACTTGCAGATGAAGTTTAAAATTCACGCAAAATCTTTTTATTTTGTTAATGTTATTCTGATGTGTTATAGGTTCAACATGTCTGAGGCAAGAAAACAATAAATGGCTGTTTGGTTGTCAGAATGTCGCCTTTTGATGACATTTGCTGCACGCGCGCAGATGCGTGGTCATGTGTTTTTTTTTTTTTTTTACAGCTGGAGCGAGTGTCCCCAGCGAAGCTTTTCGTGCTCGTTTAAAAAGCTCTCGTGCGGGCTGCGGCACCCTTCGCTTTACGGCACGCTTGCCGCTATACCGTGATCAGCCGTAAGAAGTGCATCTAACAGTTGTGGTACTTGCGAAAGATATACTGGAACAGATGAGAAACAAAATAAAGATGCCTTCGCAGTTTAAACACGTGAACCCCGCCTTTCACCAAAACATACGTAAAGCCAGGGCAGGGCCATTACAAGTAAGGTAAACGGGCCGACAGGGCGTACTTTTTACAGACGCTGCGGAATATGAAAGCAAGCGCCACACACAGCCGTGGCGGTCAATGAGGACGGCACCCTGATGGCGGGCTGCACAGTCAGAAGTGTGTAAGCTCTAAAGGCGGGGAAGTGGCCATAGTATTACCCCATCATCCAGAAGGGGGGCAGTGTGGTCATCAGCCACTCCAAAAACGCCACGAGAAATTATTATTCGGGAAGGGTGATGGTGAATACCATCAACGCCGACTAAATTTCAAAGCCGAAGTCTACCGCAGTGACGTCAGAGGGTGGGGGCCCAGTTACGCCGATATGATATGTGGGGGTTAACGTCCCAAAACCACTATATGATTATGAGAGACGCCGTAGTGGAGGGCTCCGGAAATTTAGACCACCTGGGGTTCTTTAACGTGCACCCAAATCTGAGCACACGGGCCTACAACATCTCCGCCTCCATCGGAAATGCGACCGCCGCAGCCGGGATTCGAACCCGCGCCCTGCGGGTCAGCAGCCGAGTACCTTAGCCACTAGACCACCACGGCGAGCGGCCCAGTTACGCCGCGAACGCGGTGGAGAGCCTGTGTTTCGTTTACGTTTTAGGAGAACCAACGCTCCCGCTCTCGCAGCTGCTGTGGCTTGATTAGGCCGAATAAAAGATGTGGAAAAAAAGTCTTACTGAGCATGCTCAGTTGGACAACTGGGCCCCCAACCTCTGACGTCACTGCGGCAGCCCTTCGGCCTTGAAATTTAGTCGGCGTTGATACCATCTGTATAATAAACACAGTAGGAGGGCGCAGTGATACGAATCTGTTTTTCTGGGCAACATTTCATCAACTGTAAAGCTCATTCGTTTGCTTGAGGTCTCACTTACCAGTCAACTCCAGAACTTCGCAATTTTTCGAGCTTACAAAAAAAGTTAGCATATGTGAACATATCATGAAATCGTATCACACTGCAGGCTGAATCGGCAAGTACCTCCGGAGGTGGACCAATCGCTGAGTTAGAAAGACGACGTTATGCCGTGAAATTTACAAGCGGGAATTTTTACTAACCCTGTACTTTACATCGAGAGACACCCAGAAGTTTTCCGCTCTCTGTGCGAATTTTCTGATGAGGCAGTGAATTTTACTTACATGATATGGACATGTCCGAGTCATAACAGTGTATCCCACAATCTGGAATCCGGGAAGGCCCTCCCCCGCGGCTTGGACCCTAACGTCCAGCAAGACGTCAACAGCTAAATTCTTGCGGCTGCCGTGACTCAAGGGAATTTGGCGGATGGCTAGGGGGCGATGGGCAATACGTGATTTCACTGAGTGATGTTTAGAGGCGAGGATGCTCAGGGCCGAGCTCATTCCCGTGTGCGGTGAGACCACATTTACTGCGCACTGCGCGTCTGCTCACCCTTTTTCGCCTTGCAAAGCCGACAGCCGGTAGCGTCTGCTAACCTACGCTCACGCCCTCTAGTTTTCTCCTCTATCCACTCGTCGCCCGCCGCGGCACTCCCACCCCCATTGCGCTTGCCCGTCTCCCCCCCCCCCCCCGTAAATATAGGCACTGGATATTGACATCTCCAATGTAGTACCAGTGCGAGGTGTGCTTTTTTGAACAATAAGAATTTGCAGCGTGTGCGTTATCTGAAAAGCGGACTGCGGGTCTCTGTGTCAAATAGGAGTCTTGTGTCTCTTATTGCCCATTAGTAGCAGCTATTGGTAAGTTCAAGTAGGAAACGGTACATAATTGCCCGCTTTCAGCCTCCTCACGTTTCTCTACTGCGCGACACCGCGATAAGCGGCAGTGTAAATGTTGCCACC